ATTCGAACCCGCCACCTTAGGTGTATGTGGCTGGCGCCTTAGCCGCTTGAGGCACAGGCGCCGAGCCACCTTGACAGAAATCTTATGATTAGCAGTAATTCACACAGGTAAGCAAAATGGTTTAACAGGTGCAGAGTTTCCATTGAAGATGATGACAAAGTCTCAGAGACAGAGAGTGGTGATGGTGCACATCAATATGCAGGTACTTAGTGCCACTAAATTACCCATAGAAATGTTTAAAATGATAAATTTTATGTTATGCATATTTTGCCACAATAAAAACATGCAAGTTTTTCTTTAAAAAGACTATTCTTTCTTTCACGCACTTAAGGAATCTATGTGCATGTGTATTTATAAATAAAAACTTGGGTTATGAAAATCAGGATTAAGGAATATATTATTATATTGAGTCTCCTAGTATTATTCATAAAATCAAAAACTAGCCCTGAAAATGGATGATCTTTCTATGAAGATAGTAATTTTTCATGTCAGAAGGGCACCTCTCAATTATGAACTCAGCAACTGAGTAGTGAATGACAGTTTCTAATCTGAGAAACTCAAACTCTTTAAAAGCCTCTCATTTTTCCATCCAAATCAATGCCTTTCTGCCTTTTCTAAGGTCAAATGCTAAAGCAAGCATTATAAAAAAAATCATAGATGAAACAGAGGGAAAGCAGACCCCTAGGACAAATTCAATACTCAGATCCACTCAGAATCCGATTAAACTAAACATTTGGCGAGAACCAGCAACACATACAACCTTCATCCCCATGTTCTGTTACTCAAGGACTAGTACTCACCTCTCCATACTAAAGCCTATTTCCGCACCCAAATAATCATTCTGAAGCTGCCCCTTGAAGTTAAAATTCAATACCTACTGTTGATCAGTTCTTTGTGCTCGGCAAGGGTTTTTGCAGGATCCAGCCAATACTGTGTGAGGAAAAAAAGGATAATTATGGAAATTAGTTGTTTTTCACTGGCCTTTACTTCAAGAATATTTGCAAAATGTTATTTAAATGACACTTAAATACATGGTAAGTCAAGCAGGTCATTTATCACATATACACACAGACACACACTAGAAAAGGTAAAGGAGAGGACATCGACGGCTGTGCTGGAGAGGAGCAGAGACGCATTCACTGTCCCCGGTCAAATCTTCATACCAACTGTAAGGTCTGACATCCAGATGCTGGTGAGACAGCTTCTTACTACTTGTGGGAAATCAAAGGCTACAAAAAATGTTCCTAAGCCTCTCTCCCAAGTTCCCATCACAACTCCACTGAGCGCCATGTCTCCCCTGAAAATATCCTCACCCTCTTCATTCCCAGTCTCATCCCCTACGGCAGGCGTCCTCAAATTATAGCCCACGGGCCACATGCAGCACACTGAGGACATTTATCCGGCCCGCTGGGTGTTTTTGCCACCGCTGCCTGTCCTGCTTAGCAGCCGACTCTTCCAGGGGCCCATAGTCTGGCCCTCCAACGGTCTGAGGGACAGTGAACTGGCCCTCTGTTTAAAAAGTTTGAGGACTCCTGCCCTACAGGGACTGCTGCCAGGTGTAGGAAGAAAGGACTCAAATTTAATCCAGTCTTCACCAAGGAGCCAGGAGAGCAGCTCTGTGCAGAAGGGGAGGCCTGAGTCCCAGGGCAGACCCACCTGGACTCTGCCTGGCCTCCACCCTCATGACCAGGGACCAGAGACTGGCTGTCTCTGAACCTTCCTCATAGGGCTGCTGTACGAATTAATTAAGACAATTCATGTGAAGTCTTCCAAACAGCCCCAGCTCGTGCAGCACACAGTGGGGATGACAATCTGCTTATTCTTTTATATAAAAGTAGCAGTAATCATAAACAGTCGTCTGATGCTTCAGGCATTTCTCTTACGTTTTATTCCTAATTATGTCCAATAACAATCACTCACACTAAGTGTACGCCAGAGTCATTTTATCCTAAGATTTTTATTACAGTACTAAACTCAACTCACGTATACATACTTTACACTATTTGCCACTCATATAGCCATTAACATTTTTCAGCTTTCAAAAAAAAGTAACATTTATGAGTGTTGCAACTTAAAACACAATGTTCATTATTCTAGTCTTTGTCATCTCTCATTTTAAAAGTGCGGAATCACTTCCTTTTACAACAGAAAAGGTATTTGAAGCAGAAGTTGTATTGGTGACTAAAGACGTGGCTTTGGTGGTAAAATGCTGGTTCCCAGGGAAACTCTGGTCCATCCGAGTAAAATCCATCAAATGTCCAGCTGTGTATGTGACACAGAGCACACCCATCCCTCACAGAGATAAAGCTGCAGGTTCTTCCATGAAATGGAAACATTAGGGGTGTAATGGAGGACTGTTTCTTGCCATTCACGTTAAATAAAAAAGTGTGACTACTCTGTGGATTTTTCAAAGAGGAGAAACCAAGGAAAACCGACAGGAATGCCCATTAACACCTGCGTTAGGTTTCTACTGCTGCTGCACCAATTACCACAAACTTAGAGGCTTAAAAACAACACCGTTTATTATCTCCAAGTTCTGAAGGTCAGCAGGCTTCTCTGCTCCAGACTTCACAAGGTTGAAATCAAGACATCAGCTGTCTGGGGTTGGGAAGGCTGTTTGACTAGGGGACCTCCCGCGAGCACCGACGAAGGCAGTGGTTCTCAACCTCCCTATGGCCGTGACCCTTTAATACAGTTCCTCATGTCGTGGTGACCCCAACCATAAAATTATTTTCGTTGCTACTTCATAACTGTAATTTTGCTACTGTTATGAATCATAATGTAAATATCTGACTTGCAGGATGTTTTCAGGTGACCCCTGTGAAAGGGTTGTTCGACCCCCAAAGGGGTCATGACCTATAGGTTGAGAACCATGGCACTAAGGGAAGGGGCTGCGAGGAACCCAGTTTTCCCCTCATGACACGGTGCACGCAGTCCTGGGTCTTCACTTTAGGCTTCACACACACTTACTCACATGGTCTCGATAAGTATAGCAAGAAAGGAGGGGAGGGAAAGAACTTCTGGTCTCACTACTCTGTCGGGTCTCATCCTGAAACTATTAATAGTAAGAAGCAGAAACGGGAAGGCCGCTTTTAAATTTCTCCCTCACCATTTCAAAAAGACAAAGTTTATAGACAGAGCCTTCAACTCAATTCATTTTTTTCTTTTCCTGTTCCCAGAATGTTTTTCAATAGTTAAAAAAGCCAGGGAAAGAAACTAGGGAGGAAATTTTTAACTAAATGTAATGGGAAAGGATGGTTAACCTATAAAAAAAAATTTTCATTAATGATAATCTGTACTATTTTAAAATAAATCTCTTCCCTTAAGAGTGACTAAATTTGTGAGGTGAAAAAAATAAAGCACAAAAGTCCTGAGATGAGTTAGAAATTACAATTTTGCAGCAAGAACGCGGGGCAACAAGAGTCAAAGGCTACTCCCTCAGCTCACTGCACATTAGCTATGCTAAGCATCAACCCAGATCTTGCCGAGGACAAATCTCATTTGATCAAAATGGAAAGCAGGGGTTACGGAGGTCAGACAATGATAAATGCCCCGGAGCATAAATAATAAACACAAGCCACCAGGCTTCATAAGCCAAGATCTTGAAAGATAAAACCCACTAACATTCGACGGAGGGAGATATGACCCTGGAATGGAGGCAGCTCTGCTGTGACAGCACTTGTCACCACCCATTATCAACAAGCAATCAGACAGAGCACATGTCAGATCACAATGAAACACATTAGGTTGCTACTCCACAACCAGAGAGAAAAAAGGCCACAAGAATTTGCCAACGAACACGATTCCGATATCTGGATATAGGACTACATGGAGAATACAGGTCACGGGTAGCCAATATTCAGGATGTAGACTCTAAAACCAGGATATCATGCATTCATTCAACAGTCATGGACTGCCCACCATACCATTCTTTATATATCATAACGGACACGGTCGAGGGGAGTGAAGGAGAACAAAGACGCACGAGATCTGTCTCATTAACCTTGAGGTACGCACAGCCTAGCAGGAGACACACAAACGGATAATTACAATACAATGTGGTGAGACAATAATTACTTGCATGAGATGCGTACATACAAATAATGAGATTATGTACAAAGAAAATTAACTCTGGAAAGTGAATGTATGAAGCCTTCACTAAAAACAAATCACTGAGCAGTGTGTTCATGGGAGGGGGGAAACTTCCTCAAAACACAGAAATGAGGGAGAAAAGAGCCTTAACTGTTTATAAAACACATGTCTATCAGATCAACTGCTCTTCAAGCCAAGAGGTCGACACAGAATGTAACACTCCAAATCCTTTGTAAGTGTGAACTGAAATCGATGCTGCCCACTGGGTAACAGATACTCGGCTGAGGGATTGATCTCCATGGAGGACTCCCAGAAAGAGAAGTCCACTTGGTCTTTTAACCTGTGCCAGGTGAGGGGAAAAGGAACACCGAGCACAGCTCCACCCACACAGTGCAGGGCCACCAGAGTAGGGCTTTCCGGAACTGCATCTTGGAGCGTAGCCCTCTCCTCTACCCGGTCATGAGCAGAGAGACCCCTCCGTCTGCCATTCTCTCTCAACATTCAAGCTACTCATTCTCTAGGACAATCTATCAAGTATTTACCACCACCACCCCCCGCCCTATTTCAAATGTATACATATCCTAGAACTTGTACATGCTTACAAGCTGGGTGAGGTCTTCCATTGTAGGAAGGTAACGATTAGCTGAAACAGACGCAGCTCTCTCATCCTGATCTCATATAGTCTGCTGCTTATCACAGGGGGGAGCTAATATACTGCTTCCCAGACAGCCCATCACCAAGGAGTCATGACAACGGTTCCCCCCAGCTCTGATCCTTTGCTGAGGGTAAGAGGCGAGCGGAGGGGCAGCCTTACCACTTCAGTCCCGTCAATCCTAATTACAGCATTGATGTGACCCGGAGACCAGTGACAGACCTGCGTACGCTGACAGTCCTGGCTAAATGCCCCGGGCGTCTATCATCTACCTTGGCTGATAATGTCTAAATTTCATCAATTTCCTAGGTAACAGTCTGAGAATTAGAGTTTAAAACTCTAATACTGTCCAGTAGATCAATATTCTAACCTTCAAAAGATACATACTGAATTCAGCGTCCAACCTTTCATTTGCCAATTGTTCTTTTGGAGTCTTGTCTTAGAGCTCCAATATTGAAATAAAACCACAAAATTTTAAAGAAAGGACAGCACACAATAATGAAAGCTCTCTGCATCTTAGCGCATGCACATCAGGTGTAACGCTGACTCTTCTCTGGGGAACTTGAGAATGTCACGATGGTCTTTAATGATGCTGCCTGTAGGCCAAACGAAAGCCTTTCAAAGCACACACCGTTTTCAGAAATACAGCATACAATCTCTGATCTAAGAGAGTAAAAAGAGAGTTGACCATCTATCAGGAACAATGGAACCAAAAAGATATTTAAAAATGACACAATAACTCACTCTTGGAGAGTTCTAGTACTCAACATAATTCACACATATGTCCCAAGAAGCCCAGGATTGTGGTGACAGCTATTTGTGCTGGTCCCCTGCCCCATAAGCATATCTCAGACCCTCCAAGCAGCATTAACAGGATGTAGTTTTAGTTTGTTCCTTGGTATGAATCACATAAGCCTTAGGCTCAGAAAAACCACCTTAAGGGAACTATCTCACAGTCCCACAAAGACTCAGACCCATTGCTGGAATAACCTAAGGTGAGAGGGGATAATTACAGCAAGGTCTTGTTTTCCAGCAAAAGTGGATTTCAGTGGCTCAGTGTTGGGCCATTTGGCTCCTCATGACGTGTCACAGGCCCAGGGAATGTTCCTCAGTTCTCACCCGTGGGTCCTGGCACCACTCCAAGGGTTACAGAAATACAGCAATAGCTAACATGTATTCAATCCCT